TCGATAATGGCAGTACTTTAATTTTTTTGGATTAAGATTTCATTCCAAGAAATTTAGAGAATAGACTTCTATAATAAGACATATTAAATATTTTTCTTGTTTTGTGAGAGAAATTAAGTCATATTTGTTTCTATACATATATTAATTATTTAACAGTTTATCATAACTAAGAAAGAACATAGTTTATTTATTTTTGGATATATAATTCATTTCTAGATATATGATCATTTATTAATTAATGAAACGAAAGGGAAGATTGCGGTATATTTTACAAGTATGATAGATTGTATCTATTATATTATTTTATTAAAATATATTTCCATATTTTGCAAGAATTTTTATTGTGCAATTTTCTCACTTGTAACGTTATGATCTAAAATAATAGTGGTGGAGTGAACAAGAGTCACAAGGTACAAAATGAGAAAATTAACATTTTTCATCAAAGAATTTTCAAATGCGTTAAATATTCATTAAATGAGACACTCGGATTTTGTATCTCTGCTTGAGAGTCCTCTGGATTTCAATCTAGAATAAAATCTAAGAGCGATCATGTATTAATGCGAGGACAACGAATTTTCATGGACGGGCACGAATGAAGACTCGCGAGAAAGAGAAGGGAGAAACGCGCGAAGAGAAGGGAGAACAATATCGGGCGGACTATACTTAAATTACCTAGGAAGCATTCATACGTGGGATAAGCATTGTCATCCCAAGGGATTGTCTCGCAGACACCTCACGGGCACGCTTTGTACTGCGGGGGTGCCGCAGTAGGAGTAGAAGAAGCCTGAGGGGTTGGGGGAGGGGGAGGGGGCGAGAGAAACCTTTATTAGGTAGATAAGCGAGATGCGAGTGCGTTATATAGATGCCCATCCTCGAGCCTCCCCTCTCTCCTCTTCGTTCTCCGCCTCCGCCGCCTCCTCCTCCTCCTTCTCCTCTTCCTCCTCCACCTCCTCCACCTCTTCGTCGACCGGGCAGGGAAAGAAGGGAACGGGGGAATGGGGGTGGACGACAGCGAGGACATGAGATAATTGGTATTTTGTCTCGCCGAATCCTTTGTGCCTCGAGTTTTAATTGACTTCGAGATTTTTCAATACCAATTTGCACCCGACTGCATGCGGGCAAGAATGCGTGTACACGCGGATATATATATATATATATGTACACATACGTATATACGTGTATCTGTACGCACGAGGTATTCGCGGAGAGGCCGACGGAATGGCGACCACGTCGCCGGATTTTTTCCGCGACGGAAGAGACGTGCTCCTCGTTTTTCCTTCCGCCATCTTTTGTTGACGCCGCGACGAGGGTGGGTTTTGTTTTTCGGGGTGGTGCACCCCCGGCGAGATAATAAATTATTAGCTGACGTACTTGCTTTCCTGGATTTTTTCTCATCCAATCGTGCCGAGATCGATGATGAAGTGACAGATGTTTTCGAGAAATATTTCGCGACAGTGAATCTTATAAAAGCAGATCTGCTACTTAAAAAAATAATTTTGCATTATAATTTCATTTATTCTATTAAAGTGTATTATTCTCTTGATTTGGCACAATTATTAAAATTTATATGTGTTTGATTAGATTATTTAAACTAAATAATGATGAATATACAGTTGTAACACGATTTATGAGCACAAAATTATACAAATATGTACATCTTATATGTAAAATATATTAATAGAATTAGAGGACCATTTTTCTATAAACCAAATAATTAAATTATGTTCTTTCCCCTGTTTAATTTCATAAATGCTTCACGCATATTTAGTTGTACGAAGTAAAATAATATCCATTAAACAAGTGTTATATAATATCAGGTAATGGAATTTTAAGTAAGACCACCAATTAAAATGTATTAAAATAAATAATATGCTCCCACAAGCACTATAGAGGAGAGAAAAGTATTTGATTGCGACGGCGAAAAGACATCGAAAAGCAATCGCAATAGAGAGTACACAAAACAACTAATACCGCCGAGAAAGAGAAGCGAACTATTGCATCTATTCGTTTGCATCGCTGAATGTCCTCCGGGAACTAGGAAGGCGAGAGAGGATGGGTCAGGACGGAGGGCGATTCGAGATTGGGAAAAGGGAACAGGAGCTCTCTCCTTTCGCTGCTTTTCATTCTAATCCAAGTGCCCTGTCGTCGAGAGGATTTTTTGCATTGTACCCGCAGATTTCCCATAGGAGGGTAACCGTCAGATTTCGCCTGGCATTGTTTCATAGAAGCTGTCGCTCTCATCCTCTCCTCTCCTCTCCTTCCATTTTCTTTCTCTCTTTTTCTCTCTCTCTCTCTCTCTCCCTTCTCTCTCCTCTCTTTCCATACATATGTGCGCATGTATACGTAAGCTAAATAGGGTCGAAACTCGTTTTGAAGTGTAGACTCCCAATTGATTACTCGTCGACAACGAAAAGACGGCGTAAAGGGGTTGCACAATAAGAAAACACCGCCAAACGTTCACTCAATCATTTTACATTCGGCAATTTATATCTATAAGATTATCTAAATATCGCTTAACACATTACTTTATGAATCTATTTTACTTACACATCGAAGAGGTTTAAAATTAATGTCGTTAAGAAGCTCCTAAAGTCATCTGTATTACCGACTAAATCATAATTTTTGTATAACAATTACTTTTTCCTTCTTTTATAGATTCAAAAATCCTTTTCCTGCATTAATGCATTAATACGTGTCTGTGAGGTGGAGTTTATGCCGAGAATGACAAAAAATTTTTTTTAAGATTTAAATTTCAAAATTTTTTATCATTCTCGACATAAACTCCATCTCATAAATTCCTCACGTATTAACGCATATACTTTAATCCTGGAAAAGGATTTTTAAATCTGTAAAGAAAGAAAAAAGTAATTGTTATACAAAAATTACGATTTAGTCGGTAATACAGACGACTTCAGAATCTCCTTAAGGTATATCGTTATTAATATCTATTACAAAATAGCAGATTATAAGAACTACACATTATAAGAAACTTGTTGTATTAATCACTGTTGTAATAATATCACAAGAACATAATTTAATTATTTGGTTTATAGAAAAATGGTCCTCTGATTCTATTAATACTTTACATATAAGATATATGAATATTTGTATAATTTAATTTGTGCTCATAAATCGAGTTATAACTGTATATTTATCATTATTTAATCTAATATCAAAAAAACTTTCATTTAAAACTTCTTTTCCCAGAAAAATAAGAAACTATTAGAAACTATTAGAAACTATTAGATAAATAATAATTAGGATAATAAATATAGAAATAATCACACTTTACACAGAATATTTTATAATTTGCGTCCGCCAATGACTTACATACACAGAAAATTTGTGTTAAATTTAACATAAATTTAATTTGTAACATTTTACGTGTCCAACCAATTTTTATGTTAATTAGATGTGTTAAAAAGTAATACAAACCGATACACAAACATTACGTCAAAATAAAAATGCAACACTGATACAATTTAAAAACATATTTTTTAAATAAAATTATCATTTATAATATGTTAAATTAACACATATTGAGAAAAAAGTTTTAGTATTTGTAACTATAATTGTATGATTTGTATGTCATAATTATAATTATTACTACTATGACGTTAGTAATAATAATTATATATATCAACAAATATATATAGTCGGTAACCGATTATAATTACAGTTATTACTACCATAAAAATGATTGAAATTATATAGTCACTTTTATGATTATCACAACTATATATATTGTTTTTTTAATAGAATTATATATAGTTGTTACTATAACATTATAATAGTAATAATCATAATTATAGTAACATATAATTATAGTTACAAATGCCAAAAATTTTTCTCTCAGTGAGTACGTTAATTTTTTATTCATTTATATATCTTAGAATTAATGGTATTTTTTATAAACTCATTGTTATTTTTGTTATTTGTTCACTTATTTTTAATTATGTCATTCTAATATTAAAAAATATTAATTTAATACAAAATATTTAATTAACATAATCACACTTTGTTAAATTAACACTCAAGTATGTTAAAAATTCAACACAAAAATTTAAACAAAAATTTATTGACAGTATTAAAAATCTGTAGTACATATATAAACGTAAATTTTGAAACATAGTCCTACGAAGACACTTTTACACTAAAACGCGTTCATTTTGAATGAAAAGCAGAAAGCGAAAAAGCAGCAACTAGAAGAGGGGGGGGGGGGGGGGTGTGAAAAAGTGGGAATGAAATTCTAAAGGATGAGCTTGATTTTCCATCCAGCTTATCTGAGAATTTCATCCCCACTTTTTCCTCCTTCCTACTTACAAGTCTATGCCATGTATATTTTGCGTTTTCAGTAACAAAATTTTGATTATTCTGATTACAAAACATTTCTCACAATCAGTGTAAGTGAAAACAATGATTCTGGTAAGATTGAATTGTAATGTTAAAATCGAACGAACTTGTTATGCATGAAATTATACGAAGCGGTTGATTACTACTGCATATCCCCAGAAACAAGAAAATTATGAATATCTTTATTTGATCTTTCGTTCCTTTTTTATTCGCAATTATTGCGCGACGTAGCCCCGCGGTTGCGACAGTACTCGAACGAAGCCAGTCAATAACGGCCGGTCTATGCGCTATTTGTACTTCGTCCTATCGAGGTAATCGATAATAATAATTGCAGTCCGTGCGATATATCGCGTCGAAGTGGCCTGCTCCCAGCTTCGCTCCGTCGCAGGCAGCAAAGTAGGATGACAGAGTGCGACGAAGTGGGACGAAGAGCAGCGAAGTTACACGAAAACTGAGATATGACGACCAATGATGCACGAGGGGCCGGTCGATGGGTGGTCGACGGATTAACCGGTCGACCTTCGAAGAGGACCGGTGAAGCTACGCCCATAAACGTGGCCACGCGTGGGGTACGTAACGGACACAACGGAGAGGGAAAAGATTCCCGAGAACTCGAGAAGGACAGTGGCGGTACAATGAGTCAGCTGTGAGGAACGCAAGGCAGCAGTTCACAACAGTGTAAACCCTGCTACTAAGCCAACCTCAAGATGAGTATAGAAGCAGTTAGAAAGAAGATGTGCAACGTTCGATCAGTGACAGAACAATAGTCTAAAAAATTGAATCCATTATTGGTTTCTAATAATTTTTTAGTGCAAAAGTATTATTTCATTATAATAGTGATGAAAAACAAAAATCCAAGTCATGATATAATCCTGATCCTTTAGATTTAAGAAATCTAAGTGAAAAAAGAAGAAGAAGAATCACGTTCGTGAAGTAATCAAGAAGAATCACTCAAAGATTATTTCTGTGAAAATGTGCAATATATGTACAGAAAATATATACAGAAAAAGACAGATGATATCAATTTGTGAATAGATTTCTTTTCGTAATAAATGCAAATATTTCAAGAAAATTTTAACTTAGCAAGCAAAGAGACAGTATTTTTCGTAAGTTATAAAATTAATTAGTCAATGAGTGCGAGAACGTGAAGTAGAAGAACTCCATAATCAAACGAAAACTATCAGTTTATAAATTGAAATATCTACCAACGAATTTGTGAATCTCATAATATATCACATATACATCAGCGATATTGACATTGATTATTTACGTTCGTTAAGTATGTATGTTACGTTCGTTATGTGTGCGTGTTAAGTTTGTAACAATCTCGAACGAATCGTCTAAACGTTATGAAGAACTTATGCCGATTAAAATGTTAAAACATAGTTTAGATCAAGAACAAGTATCATACAATCCAATCTCGGTCAATTTAAACTCGGACGTAGATTCAAACTACGGATTCGACATACATTCATCGTCTTTGCATTCAATGTATCATCCGTTCCCCAATGTAATGTCACCTGACGTTATAGACGTGAATGATATCAGGCAACGAACACCTGCGCAACAAGAGATGCATATTAAGAGGCCTATGAACGCATTTATGGTATGGTCCCGTGAGAAACGGAAGTTGATTTCCCAAGAGAATCCAAAGATGCACAATTCGGAGATTTCGAAGATGCTCGGCGCAATGTGGAAGGAACTCACCGAGGAAGATAAAATTCCTTATATCGAGAAGTCGAAGCGTCTGCGTATTCAGCTCCTAAAGGATCATCCGGATTACAAGTATCGACCTCGAAGAAAAGCCAAAAGAGTGTCACTGGACCAATCTCTAGCCATAGGCTTACCTTCGAGACATTGCACTAGTTTTTCTATATCGCCTTACAGTACGATTGTCAATCCTTCAGCCATGGCTCATGCGCTGCCCTACTATCCGTATCCCAGGTCAGCCCATTTTAAATTGAGAGACTCAGATGCGTTGCCTACGTCAATGGTTTCGGCTGATGGCAATAACAACGCGTCCTTGGACGTCAATAGCTTATATCAACTTTATTCTTCGATGGCACCGGCAGTTGGTAATCCGACATTGGCGCAGCATCACCTGAACTCATTCTTCCCGACCAACCATCATACATTAGGAACCAACAGTCTCCATTCCCATCTGATGTTGCCCTCGACGTCCGAAGGTACAGGAAGCGATAAATCCATCAACACTTACGATGCTAACCCATCACAATTTACTTCGTTATCGATGCATTCCCCTGAAGCACTGACACCGTCTGGGTCATCTGCATTGGATCCTGATTGGTACAGATATAACCCGGTAAAAAATTAATGAAAATAATGCTTTTTAAAAAATTATGCTTTATTTATACGTATATTTACAATTTCTCAATCAATTTGAATTTCAAAATATTGTGAATAATGAAAACTTTTTTATTGAATTCTAATCCTCGTTATTATAATAATTTATTTCAAAAAACACAGCACAATTTATTCATCAAATTGTTTTGTGATTTTGTTTCTTCACAACAAAATATTTTTCTTTTTAAAATTTCTCATACACAGATCGTTAGAGTAAGAATATTAATTTGAGATTTTCAGTCTGTTAAAGAAAGAAAGAAATAAGAAAGGAAAGAAAAATTAAAAGTATAAATCTCAAAAAATAATCTGCAATACATGTTGTTTATTATTTTCGAATCAATTAATAAAAAAAAAAGAAATTGCTCTTTAATTGATTTAGTCTTATCTGATAGTTTTTAAGCTAGCTGTTGGCAAAACCGTCGCGCCGTTAACGAGGCGGATAATTGAATTAGCATATTAATGCGACGGAACAATGGAATCGTTTAGGCCCGGATTCGTTTTGTCTTGTCCAATGGGTTTTATTGCAGAATACAGTTCTTGATGAATAGCCATAGCCTAACCCCTTTCACAATATCCCATTTTGTTTGCAAATAGTGTTTCTTAATTGCGGATGCACTTTTAACTTAGTCTATAACAATAATAATTTTCGGCCAAATGTGATAAATAAGCAAAAAAATGATATTGATAAAAAGAATGTTATCTGTACAGTGCAATTATAATATTTAATTGCATGAACTACATTGCATTGCACTGAGTTCATATCGAATCCGTAGTTCGAATTTGCATCCGAATTGACTGAGGCTGAATTGTACGATATTTGTTTTTGATTGATCTGAACTATACTTTGACATCTTTATACGCAGCCAAAGCATCTGACTGTGTGTGTGTGTGTGTGTGTATGTGTATGTTTCGAAAAAGATTATATAATTATTAAATCTAATAAGATCTAATATTTACCACGAATAGCTTCCATACTTTATAGAAAACTTTATAAAAAAATTTTAGCTATTTTAATTCTTTCTTTTTTTATATTAGTTTAATCTCCTTCACTTAATTGCCAAGTAATTTTTCTTTATTACATTTATATCACACCACATACACACACAAGTATACAAATTAAAGTATATACATATTCCTATATACATATACTTTTGATATATCATATTTATTCGTCAGACTTCTTCTGTCAAAATATATTTTAATAAAGAAACATTTTTTAATATTTTTTATATTTAGAATATTGTTATTTCTTAAATATCTCTTTTACGAGTGTTAAATATTATATATAGATGTGTCATGTATTTAATTTTTTTACATATGATTTAATAATTTATATAATTTATAATGAATTAAAATACGAAATTCTAAACTGCTAATTTTAATTGTTTCAGGCTCCGTTTTCACGATGAAATATGAAGACATAATATGATTAGGATTATCATTGCCATGTACCTGCAAAAAGCAATATATACATAGAATATTAATTATTTTTATGAATTACATAATGAGGAGGTATAACTATAAAAAAATTATTAATATTCTGGTAAAATAAGAATAACAAGATCATATACTAAGAAGAAGATACTTCAAAATTTATTTATGAGAAATATATTTTTTAAAATAAATATTTATTTTATTTTACTGAAACAAATATTTATTTAAGTTACAGCAAAATAAAATTTTATTTCTAGTAAATAAGTCACCTATTTTATATTTGTTTACGATTAATGACGATTTCACAGAAATATTTCGTCATCACAACCAATTTTTTTTCATAACTAATAAATATAAAAAAAATGTAAGTAAAATTTGTTTTGCAATATCTTGCTATTTCTTTCTCCGTGTAGCAAGCTTTTTTTAGAATTAAAGCGGGATAGAAGACTTATGAAATTAAAGTATTCTGGCAGGGTTCTCAAAAATCAAAATTAATTTTTATATTATACAAAATTTAAACTACAAATTTGCCAAGTATAAAGAATATTAAATAAAAATGTAAGCTGTAGAATATTTATTTCATCTAATTTCAACTTCAATTTTCAATTCAATTTTCCGTCTAAATCTTATTTACATGAAATTATTTTAATCTGAAACATTAGACGTATCTATTACCTCCTCACTATGTCACGAACATTTGTACAAATAAATATATTTTTCGTTCTCTATTTGTTAATAAAAATTATATGTGATTGATCAATACAGATATGATACTATATAACTGTATATATTTATATTACATTATAATGTAAATATATATATTACATTATAATTAATATTAAATATTTATATATAATAATTAATGATATACAAAAAAATATTAAATTTAAATATAATTTATGTAATATACATAAATATATTTGTCTTTATATTTAAACATACATATATATGTTTATTATATTAATAGATAATATAATTAATATGAACATAAATATTTATAATAATTAAGGATATAAAAAATAAATGATACTCAATTTCACTTTTTGATAGTACTTTGAATGGTCATAGCGGTCATATTGGTTGATCGATCACATGATTTGCCATATGGTTCCATGATTGTCATTAAAAAAAAATTGCTCAATTTTTCTTTCTATTTCTTAACATGAAGACATGGAATGGTCTGAAATTTTCAAAGCTCGGAAGATTAATCCAAGGAGAATACACTGTGGAAAAACAAGTCAATCGAAAAGAAAAATAGCTGTCAGGGAAACACATCAAATTTTAAAGTCCTTTAAAATTTGATGTCCTTCTCGCTTATTCTAAATTTGTCCAAAGTTTTTTTTTCAGTACCTGTTTGACAAATCGATGACTTTCATTATCGAGAATTATCAAAAAATTATTAGAAAGAACATTAAGTTGTAAATCTTGCTGTCATGACTTTGATCGATTATATTGTGTAAAATACGAAGATATTTGTGATGTACAGAATTCATGACTTTAATCAAATTTTAATAAAAAGCATTTTTAAAAATAATTTGCTATATTTATTTTATTACATCAAATTTCAAAAAGAAATAAAAATTTTGAATTCAGAATTATTTAATAATCTCTATTTTTTCATTTTAATCTTTCTCGCGTGCAATATCGTGATCGCTAATAATTTCTCTTCTAAAAAAAAAGAAAAAAGAAAAAAAAACAGTATTACATGACTTCAACAATGACATTTTTCTATTTAACAATAAGCGTTGAAATTACTTAATTATAAAATTAATTTTAATTCCTAATTTGAACCATTGGTCATTTAAATAAATCTAACGCTTTTTTTAAATATGTTAAAAATATTGCTGAAAAGTTATTAAAATAATTTTGAAATGTGTAGAATATTACAAGAATAAAAATATTCTCACGAAAATCTAATTTAATCCACCTTAATACTGAAAATGACTTATTTTGTGTATTAAAAACAATAAATAATAGTGCATTTAATAAATAATAGTGCATTTAAAAAAATAATTACAATTACTTCTTTTTAGTATTAAATGCATTACAAAAAAATGCACAAAATTTTGCTTTGAAAAACTTTATGTACTTTCACCTTGGAGCTCAATTTTAAGATTCAGTTACGGGCGAAATGCTACGCTTTTTATATTCTCATTCAGGGAATCGATTCTGTATTTTCAAACAAGGTGAAAATGAGCAAATTTACTAGATGTTGACGAATGAAATTATCAGTATTTTAGTAAATTCGCTCACTTTTGTAATTTTCACCTCGTTTTAAGATACAGAATTTTTGTTTATAAATAAATTGTGGCATTGCAAGCGTTAGTTACATCGCTCGAGTCAGCTCTTTTTTTCGGTCTTCCTTTCTCTCTCTCTTTCTCTCTCTCTCTCTCTCTCTCTCTCTCTCTCTCTCTCTCTCTCTCTCTCTCTCTCTCTCTCTCTGATGTCATAGCGTTCTGCGTACAGAATTTTCGTTAGCCCCGGCGATAGATTTAAGTTAGTGCTCGATAAGATGAATCATCACTTTATGTTTATTGCAAAATCGATTACTGCTCACTATCGTTAGGTAATTACTCGCACCGTTAGATAAATGCTTATATTGTAAATTTTTTAGTTTCTTGTATTCTAATCTAGTAATGCGATACCGATATCCAAGTTGTCATAACGCACGCAATTACATTTCTATCCTATCGATCTGTAGGTTTCAAATATTCATTTGAGTTTATATTAAACCGCCTTATGGCTTATGAATCAGAAACAATGAGTAACATTTCTTTGTGAACTTAATGATTTCCCGCCAATCTTCCTTCGCCATCAGTTAGCCATCGCCGGCGTCCAGACACGCTTGGTGCCACATTGGGCACAGGAGCCATAACATAGTCACAAAATGCTTTCCTCCGCGGCCCTCTGTCGGCGGAGATGTGTAATTTATTGCATGTAAAAGATTTCAGAAACAACTTAAGGAGATTCTAAAACAAATCTTAAAACAAATTTAGTGTCTATATTACTGACCAATCATAATTTTTGTTTAACAATTATTTTTTTTCTTTTTTACAAATTCGAAAATCCTTTTCCAGGATTAAAGTATACACATTAATACATGTCTGTGTGAGTTTATTTAAATGACCAAAAAGGACAAAAAATTTTGAAATTGAAATCTTAAGAAAAATTTTTTGTAGTTCTCGGAATAAATTCCATCTCGCAGACACGTATTGATGTGTATACTTTAATCGTGGGAAAGGATTTTCGAATTTATAAAAGAGGAAAACAGTAATAGTTATATAAAAAATACGACTTTAATTTTGGAAAAATTTTTTTTGTTAGGCCTTCGATCGTAATTTCGCAAACTCAGAATTTGTGCATGTCATACACTTTCGGGGAAGGTATCATTTGATACGATCTATAGAATTTCTGCACTAAGAGAATTATAACTTGAGGTGATAGCTGTGAGAGCTGAAATAAAGTGACCTTTAAATTTTTCCCCGATTTCAAATTTAATGTAGTTAGTGTTTTCTTTTTGTGCGTACTTTTATTCTGTAAAAGGATTTATCTATAAAGTTAATTCGGAGAAATTGACAATCTGCAATTGTCGATAATTTCTGTTGATTTAGGATCCCCTAACCGCAAGATTTGCAAAACGATTTCATGTGAAATATTTCAGAAATCATTCAATTACAAGATTTGCAACTTTTCATATGAAATGTTTCAGATATACTCAACTGAACGTCAACTGAAAGCTTTGTAAAATTATTTTTATGTGAACAATTTCAGAAACATTTCTGTTGCAATATTTTATGACATATTTCAAAAAAACAACAAATCATCTTTTGTTTTGTTAAGATATATTTGATTTGTTCCACAGAAACATTATTTTATGATTCTCACTACGAGAAGTTAGCTTTATATTTCCACTTACCAGCATGAATACTGGATATTAATCTTGAGAAAAAAATCTTGGTTTTATTTTTACTTTATAATTTGAATTACGCTGTAATAAATAATAATTGTCTTAACCGAGGATCCAGACTGTTTTCTCAATTCGATTTAGATTAAAGTTTTTTGTTCTCAAACAACAAATCGTAAATATATATAAAACATTTCAATAATATACAAATTATACATTACAATGCCGCCACTTAAAATGACATTTTCTTTCAAAAGCCAAAAATCTCGCCACTAAAATCTCGTGTTTCAAAAGAAAAAATTTCAGCCTTTTATCTGTATATGTAAAAATCTTAGCGCCGTGTCTTTCTCTCTCTATAGACCAGAGAAATACTATTATATACTTGACTACTATGACATACCTGATATAAATATTATAGTATTATATTTCCCTTTTAAGTTTCTTTTCAAGAATAGAGGCCCAAGACTATTGTGTTATAAAAAACACAATAAAAAAATCGTCGACTCAATATCTTATGCGTTACATAAGTCACGCAAATGAATATTCTCTCCTGTGAGTCAAAACAAGTTAACTTCAAAAGATTCCAAAAACCCAAAATTATTTACATCACGTTTATATACATCGACCGTTATTTATTATTTGAGTTAACAGAATTCCATTTATGAAAAGTAGTTAAAATTCATAGAATCAATAAAATAGGCAATACAAAAACTTGGAGCGTGACCTGGATGCTCCCCAGGTGTCATCCTTGTTGTTTAATGAATACGTTAAACAAGGATGTCACATTTTAGTAGGTCTATTCTGTAGCTTTTTAATAATTTTACTAGCTAGGGATGTCGTTGCGCAGGTATTTTACATGGTGAAAAAGCTGCACAACGACAGTATAACGATACCGAACTGTCGTTGCGCAGTTTTTTCACCATGTAAAAGTTACAGAAGATGGAGACCTACAGATTAAAATTAGATATGATCTACTCTGAATTTATTCATTTGTCCTTCAAACATATGTATATATAGCCTTTGAGCTACTCTATTTCTCTCATTGAGAATGTTTCAAATGAAGCTAGATAGGTTTCCGCGTAATGCCTGAACTGACGGTGATTAGTTAATTAAATTAGTTTCAGCGATTGGGAGAGAGAAAGAGAGAGACATCAGTACCACGAACGCG